TACTTTTATTTTTAAAAATTGTTTTTTTTTTTTAAAAAAAAAACCTTATTTGTGTTTAAAATTTTATCTTTATCGATTACGCTTAAGGTTTTTTGATTTTTTAAACGGTACTTCTATAACCGTTGGCAAACTACGCTGCCATCTTGGTAGGCCTATATCAAAAATTTTTCCGAATGCGCTATCCAGTTATTATTTTGAGATCAGTGGTCGAGTCCATATCGAAATATTTAAAAGGGAAATTTCTAGCGTGGTAAGTACATGTACAGCGTGGAAATTTCTATAAAAATTGAGTGCTTTGTTGTAAGAGTTGCAAAATAAAAGCTTTTAAAATGTTATACTTATTACGGAAATTAAGTTATTATAATATAATTATTGTATTCAAATACTTCATATATTGTATATGAAGCAATTATAATAACTTCATATAGAATATATGAAGTTATTATAAATTTCATAAAATTTATGAGGTATTATTTATAATATATCATGGCCTACTTAAATCAATCTTAAATCAATAGAAGTTATACTTAAGTCAATAGAAGTTATACTTAAGTCAATAGAAGTTATACTTAAGTCAATAGAAGTTATACTTAAGTCAATAGAAGTTATACCTTCTATTATATAAGTTTAACTTATAATTATATAACTTATAAGTTATATTTTAGGTTTAACTTTTATACTTAAACTACACGGCCTGAAGAGAGCAGTTTTTTTACGGCTCTAGTATAAAAACTTCATTTTTGTTATGGTTAAGAGTCTTGTTTGTACTATAATTGTTTTATTTTTATTTTATTAAAATGGTTTAATAATAGTTAGATTTTCTTTGAGTACTTACATTATTTTCTGCTAGAATTTTTGTTAACTGATTGCCTGCTTCAGTTTATTCCAATAACAAAGAATACTGAAATAGGCTTTCAGATAGCTATATCAAAATTACAACATGCTACTAAAAATAATCTTAAATATTGCTAAAACTACCTAAAACTCTCCATTGGAAATAATTTTAAAGGTTTGTAGTTTTTTTATTTATTATAATTGCAATTATTAAGTAGAAAACATAAATTTTTCTTCAAAATATTTATCTATTATGTAAATACTCTATTATGCATCATGTCTCAAACATACAGCAATTAAAATGCAACAAATGGGGTCATTTATTTACAGTAGGCAAGAAATATCAGGCATACCAACTGTTTTGAAGTCAATAGCTGTCAATAAAATTCTTTTTTTTTCTCATTGCCTAATAAATGCTTATATAAACTTATTTAAATGGTTTCGCAGTGGTGAAAATTACAAATTGAAAAACTATAATATATTAAAAAAATTATTGACAAAAATTTGGTATTAAGTGATTATTTGTTTCTTGTGGGTAAGATGTACTTCCAAAGAGCAGCCCAAAGTGCTTAACAATTTGATGAAGATTGAGAAAATAATTTTTATAAAGAATTTGTTTTTGTTTTTATGATTGTTTGTATGATTTTGTTTAAATGATTGTAATTTATTCTTATGTTTTGAAATCCTCACCTAAAGTTTACATAACAGGTTTATGTTTGAAAAAAGAAATTGATGAGTGTATTACCTCAATGCACAAATCTGAATTTAAATCAAGATCTGTTGTTAACGATAACCATTCTACAAATGTTAATGCATTTTTATAGTTTCATAAAGCATATACTGGAGATGGAAAATTATTAATTTATCATTTAGTTTAGAAAAGGAGTGTTTAAAACATACTTGTTATTTGATAAACTATGTTTTTGTTTTTTTCTTCTTTTTCATTTGATTTTTCCAGAGACTATGTTGAAGTAACTTAAGCAGGGAATATATTTCTTAAAGTTTATTAAAAGATCAATTATTAAACAGGCAAGAAAAAGCAAGAAAAATTAGTTATCAAGTCACATATTTTGGAAACAACAAACAAGTTGTCAACATCAACAATATTTGACGAAACTGTAATTTAGTTATTTTTCTGAAAGAAATAACGCAGTACAATTTCTATCATTGTTTTATAAGTTATTTATCATACTTAGTTCATTCATTGTTTTATAAGTTATTTATCATACTTAATTCATATATATATATATATATATATATATATATATATATATATATATATATATATATATATATATATATATATATATATATATATATATATATATATATATATATATATATATATATATATATATATATATATATATATATATATTATAAAGCAAGTTATATTGGTAAAAATTAACAAAAAGATTTTGCTGTTAAACTTATGATCAATAAACATTATTTTATAAAGAGAAGAACCTATATATTCAATTCAACCTCTGTCTAATTTTATTTGTTATCTTTTTAGTATTTTATGTAATTTCTCTTATTCTAATAAAACATTGCAGTCATGCTTTTTCAATTAAAAATTTGCAAAACAAATTTTAAAGATTTGATGTAGCAGTGTCAATTTTACAAATAAAAGCTACTAAAAGTGGGGAATCAAATGTAGATCTTGTATTGCTATTAATATTTTTTATAATAATTTGTAAAAAAATTTCATATCCATTGAGAAAAGATCAAGTAAAAGAATTCCAAAAGAGACAAAGACAAAATAAACATTTCTAGCAAAAATGTTTTCATTCTTTCAATTTCAATTATAAAAAAATACAAAACTACAAACCTTTTTTTTTGTTCAATGGAGAGTTTTAGGCAATCTTAGCAACATGAAAGATTATTTTTAGTAGCATGTTGGTATGTGTTGATATAGTTATCTGAAAGCCTATTTCAGTATTCTGTGTTGTTGGAATAAATTGAAGCAGGCAATCAGTTAACAGAAAACACAGCACAAAATAATTTAAGTACTCAAAGAAGATCTAACTATCATTAAACCATTTTAATAAAATTATAATAAAACAATTAGAGTGCAAACAAGACTTTTAACCATAAAAAAATGAAGTTTTTATACTTATGGCGTAAAAAAACTGGCTTCTTTATTTTTTATGGAAAATGCAACAAATCAGGCCGTGTAATTTAAGTAGGCCATGGATAAATAAAGTTTAATTAACTGGTTTCTTAATATAAATTAGTTTTTTTGATTTACTTGACAATTGAGTATGGCTCAATTACCCTCTGAATTGTTTCATGCGTTTCTTGAAGAATTGTCTCTCAAGAAGTTAGAGAATAGTATGCAGGTTCTTGAAGGTATGTTAATTTTCTGTACATTAGACTTGATTAGTAATTTATTTTTTTTAATAAAATTTGGAAGTAATAATTTAAATAAACTTAATTTTCAATTTACTTGTAGTACTGTAATACCTTCAGTACTAAATGCAAATTTAACAGCACTAATTAAAGTTGAAATAAATTCAAAAAAATATTAAATGTTTCTATATATTCAAAATATAATATTTGAATTAAATGTTAAATTATCTATTTTGTCTATATAAGAAAAAAAATTAAATCCATTTTTTTAAATTAATATTTTTTAAGAAAATGGTATTGATGCTGATGCGATGGTGCTGGTTACCATTGAAGATTTAAAGTTAATGTTTCCAAAGCTTGGAGATTTTTTAAAGATTAAGAGTGTATTTTTAGCTATATATTCTAAGGTAATTTTTCAACTAAAACTATTTTTTTCTGTTTACAGGTTCACTAATAAAATTAATCAATAAAAATGCAATTAACATGCTTTAAATGTACTCGCAATTTCCCTACAATAAATTTTTTACTTTGCCATTTGAAAGGTATACATGCACTTGAGGAGCCATGTGAACTAATATGTGGCCAAAAAAGATGCAAAAGATTATTTACATCTTTTCATAGTTTTCAAAAACATGTGCGTTCTCATATTAAAAAGCAAGCTCAGAAAGTGCCTTTTGTTACTAATCAATTATTTGATTTACCAAAAAGCAATATTAATACCCAAGACAGCTTTATGCCAGAAGATTTTAATAATTTTAATGATGCTCCTGATGCACAACCAATTCTTGATATAGCTGAATGTTTTGACCATAGAGGAATATTCTTACCAGCTGCCAGGTTTCTTCTTAATCTAATGTTTGCCGCTATTCAATTAAGCAATATAAATGACATTCGTAATGGTTTGGATGAGATGTTTTCTGTTTTTGCTTGTGCTGATCAACATAAAGTCAGTGAAGTATTCACTATGAATAGTTTAGTGAATAAAAACACTGCAGAAATTTTTCTTACTGCTCTTAAACATCCATTCCAGAATATTGACACTGTGAAAAAGCTGAGTACATATCTAGAAAAGGTTGGTGCATTAAATATCCCTACTGAAATTGTATTGGGACATCGGTGGGAAACAAAGATGGGCAAGCAAGTTCAAGTAGAAGACACTTTTATGTTTGTACCCATCAGCAAAACCCTTAAGTATATTTTTAGACATTCAGATTGTTGGTCAGCCTGCACTTTTAACGAAACTGTAGCTGAAGGTGGAATCTTGTGTGACTACCAAGATGGAAGTAATTACCAAGCACACCGAAATCGCCATCCCTTGCCTTCAGTTGATTTTATTACACACGAACTTGTTATTCAACTTTATTATGATGATGTGGAAACAGTAAATCCTATAGGAACAAAAGCGTCCATACACAAGCTTGGAGCATTCTACTTTATTTTGAAAAATTTTCCAGCTATTTTCAATTCTAATTTAGCAAATGTACATTTAGTTGCATTGACATATGTCAATGACATAAAAAAGTATGGCATTAATGCAGTTTTAAGAGCAATTGTTGATGATTTAAAGTGTATGGAGGATGGATTTCAAATTGAAGTTCAGGGTGAAGCAACTTCAAGACGTGTGCGATGCATTCTTGGTCAAATTACAGGGGACAACCTTGGAATTCATACTTGTTTAGGCTTTGTAGAGTCTTTTAATAGTGACTTTTGTTGTGATCTATGCACAGCTGACAAAAAAACAATGCAAAACAGTTTTACAGAAATTCCAAAGCTTCAACGAACTGTAGCACAATATGAGGCAATTGTTAATAAATTAGCAGCACAGCAAGTTTATAAAGCTGAGTTTGGAATTAAAGTTGTAAGTATTTTGAAAGAACTTAAGTACTATCATCCGGCTAAAAATGATACTGGAGACATCATGCATGATATTTTGGAAGGTATAGCTCCTTTAGAAATCAAGTTAGTTCTTTATAATTTTATTTACATTCAAAATCTTTTTGATTTAAATTTGTTAAATAATCATCTTAGACATTTTCCTTATGGATTAACATTACAAGACAAAAAACCCAGTCTGATAACTGAAAATCGTTTAAAAGATAACAGTTCTCTTCTCGGACAGAGATCTAGTCAAGCAATGACTTTATTAATTGTCCTGCCTTTGTTGATTGGTGATAAAGTACCAAGTGACTCTGAACACTGGAAACTTTTGCTGCTACTGTTAAAAATTTCAAACATTGTATTTTCACCTGCAGTCCACAAATCTGACATGACATACTTAGCTGCTTTGATTGCTGACCATAACTCACTGTTCAAAAATCTTTTTCCAAATAAGAATTTAATGTACAAACACCACAGGCTTACACATTATCCAAGTCTAATCCTAAAAAATGGGCCACTAGCCAGGATGTGGTGTATGCGTTTTGAAGCCAAACACAATTTTTTTAAGAGAATAGCCCACATTGTGTGCAATTTTCGTAACATTGCGTACACTCTTGCATTTCGTCATCAACTTGCACAATGTAGTCAGTGGTGGAAAAAAACTGGTTTTTAAACAAAGTCTTGTTGTGGGCACATTTACAGAAACACTTTTATATCTTGTGCCAAATGGAGAAACAATATCATCACATTTCGCAGATAAACATGTTGTTGTATATATTGCAAATTTTATTGAAGCCTATGGTACTGTTTACAAACCTGGAATGTCACTAATAACAGACATTAATGAACATGGAGAGCCAACTTTTATTTGTATAGACAAGATTGTGATAATGGACAAAAAAGCTCATTTGTTATGTCTTAATTTTAGGCTAATTCAGTTTGATGAGCATCTTCACAGCTACACTGTAACTTGTGATGACACCAACACTGTCAGCTGTTACACACTTGATAGTTTGCATGATTATCATCCTGTTTTTTCAGGTACTTGTTACAATCCAAACTGTCACTTTGTGCACATTTCATTGCGTCACACATTATGTGCAGATAACACATAAATATGATATAATATGGAAGTCAAATATTTTGATTTGTAGAATGTACATTATAAGATTATCAATTTTACTTAAATAAGTTGTTTTTCTTGATACCATGTGTGTTTGTGTGCTTTGCTTTTGTATTGTATTATTTACTAGTGATACTTATGCTTTTTGAAATTACCAATTAATATAATTTGACCATTAATTATTTGATTTTGTTAATGTTAAATACTTTTTGTATATATATTCATATATATATGTATATATATATATATATATATATATATATATATATATATATATATATATATATATATATATATATATATATATATATATATATATATATATATATATATATATATATATGTATATATATATATATATATACAGTGCTCAAAGTGGAGAAAAAAAGTAACATGATAGTATTCAGTAAATTAAAAATATCATCCCACCTAACCATCCTAATCATTGTTATATACAGAGATTTTAAAAAAGGTGGCCAAATGGTTTATACTTTAAAAAAAGGCGATGACATCATGCCCCACTTCAAGCACTGTATATGTAACTTTGAGATTTTTATTGATACTTGTCTCTAATATATCAACAATTATGTATAACTTTTTTATTAACTATTGGTATTGAAATATGTATCAGTATGTAAATCGCTCTCTATTATCTCAATATTTGGATGAAGACAAAGGTGTTAACTTACATTATTCTTAGCATATTTGTTTAATTACAGAATGTACAGCCTCCTTGTCTTATCAATACCAATGAAGCATATATACCTTTAGAAAGCTCTGCATCTACATATACTGATGTAAGACAGTCTATTGAACCAACAACAACAATCACAACAGATCAAATAAGTTTTAATGTTGTCAGCAGTTCTTCTAGTTCACATCAATGTCAATATAAGTTTGTGAGTGAAATTTATTTAATAAATAATATTAAATGAAAACTTTTGGCTTTTTTAATAAAATTGTTATATTTATTAATAAGCATAGTAAATAGTTATCTTTATTAGCTTGCATTTGCTAATAAAGATTTTTTTTTCTATAATTTTTTTTAAATTGCTATTGTGAGTTATGTTTGTTGTTCAATTTAATCATAAATGCATTTTATTTATAATTTTGTTAGAAACTTTTAAAAACTTTTCAAAATTATTTATAAAATTATGTATATTTTATTATTTGTAATATTGTAGAAGTGAATTTTAATTTTTGTTAAGGACATTGACTCTATGTTGAAAGATCACCCTAAAGGTGCATCAATCTTATCCGAATATGAACGAACCGGACAGTTAGTCTTGATGAAAGATCTTTTTGTGCTTATTATTGTTGGAAATCTTGTAAAAGATAGTAACTGGTTAGGAAACCTTTAATATTTTAATTTTGAAACTTGCATTTTTTGGTATTAGTATGTAAAATCAGTTAATAAAACTAAATTTAATTAATGTTATTTTAAATTTAAATTAAAATTTATAAATAAATGATTTACTTCAAAAATTAAATGGGGAAGTAGATAAGTTATTAAACACAGCATAATAGTTTTTTTTTTTGTTGTTGTTGTTGCAGCTATCCCAATACAGAGAAAAAAAAGGCTTTAGCACTAGAAGTGATAAACCGCTTTCCAACCTTAAGAAGTGGTAATGGTGATGGTTATGTAAGTATTGTTATAAGTGTAATTGAAACTTTTATTTGCATATTTTGGGAAATGGGATAATAGTTGAAATTTTTTTAGTTTAGTTTTACTAATCTTTATATTTTTACTTACTTATTTACTTAAGGATGCTTACTTCAGACAGTATGTTGAAGTATTACGAAACGGAAAAGTTAAAAAATATTCCCCATCAGGCTATATTGAAGAGCGTTTGAAAACGCTGAGAAAACAACTGCCAATTACTGACAAGCCACACAAGCCGCATCAGAAGCGCCTAAGAACAGATGCAGTTGATCTAGTCAATGGACCCATAACAGGTTTTTACTTTAACTGTATGTTTGTAGAATGAATATTTGCATTAAGTATATATTTAAAATATATATTTATACAAATAACACTATTGTTGCAAAAGTTTGTTATTAATAATGGTAGAGTGTAATAATTTAATTATATGTTTTAGATGTTTTAAAATATATTATTTAAAATATATTTTTTAATTTTCATTCTGATATATTAACAGTTTTATTCTATTTATATTTAATGGCGTATTTAAGTGCTGTATTCAAATATGCTGTTTAAAAATATAGTAAAGATGATAGTTTCTTTAAATGCTGTATTATTATTTTATTATTATTTTCATTATTGTTTCTCATTAGAGTATTTTACAGAAGATGAAAGGGTGCTCACCCATGAACTTTTAAACGAGACACCTAACGAGAATCGCATAAAAATTGTTATGGCATCAACTTATGAAAGTCGCAGTCTCTGGGTGAGGGAAGGAAGACCTCCAATAAAAACATTTTTTTCATCATTTCCCCCATTAAAAAATATTTACTCATCTGCGGTAAGCTTTTAGTTTGCTTTCAGTAATCATTGTGTAGTTAGTTGATGATATTATGAGTTGTCACTGTTGATATTAGTGGTAAACTTATAAACTAATTAAATTATTTAATAACAATATACTTTATTTTATTGAATTAACAATTACTATGGCATTTAGTTTGAAGAGGAATTCTGCAGAAGTGCACCCAACAGCAAACGGTTAGTGGATGGGCTGGGAAACTGTTTTTCACGGATCCTTTTGTATGCCAAAGGAAAACGCAAAGGGTTGTCAACCGATCTTACAATATTACTTGACGAAATAGCAGCTAACAACAACCTGCTTGAAGGTTTGTTTAATTTATTCATGTTTTAATAAAAATAGTTTCTTATCACCAAATGAGTTAGAATTAACTTATTAATTAAGTTTTTAAAAATTATATTGTTTTAATAACTTTTTATATGTGTATCTAATGGTAATATATGTATTTAGCAATATTTTTATAGATACCAAAGAAGAATACGCTCTATTACTACTTCCACTTATGTTAACGGTTCCTATGCGAAATCGGCAACGTGCCTCGGTTGCTGAAGTTTGCAAGCGATTTATCCAGCTTCATCCTGTAAGCAATGGCTGCGTTTATTATATTGTGTACAATTTTTTAGCGGAGGTCTTAATTTTATGTTTAATTTGTTTAAAATGCGTAAACTATATTTATATTACCTTTTATTAGTATGGAACTTCAATGGACGAAATTCTTTCTAAAATCAAAAGTGACAGTATTAAACAACCAATAATTATTGCATTGGGTGTAACTGGCAACATTAGCCAATCCTTTATTGTTGTAGAAAACGAAGTTATTGAATCGCGTTGTATGGTATCTGCTGTTGATAAGTGTTTCAAGCTACACTACATCGGTCAAATTGAGTACGACCAAAGTGTTAGCCATGTTTGGCAGTTTTTGCAAGTGCATTTTTATGGGATCTTAGATAATGTTCCTATCTCAGAATGTGTACGTGATCTTGTTACTTTTTTAAAAGCACGTTAAATATATTTGACACTCTTTTAAATAAGCAACATCTGCACACATTGTGATATAGAAAAATTATTAATTGTTATTCAAATGCACGCATCAACAAAATCTTTTTTATTTTATTTGCAGTATATACTAAAAATTGTAATGTTTGTAATTATGATAATAACTTTTTTTAACTTAATTATTGTAATCATCTCTACCGGCAAATTATAACTAAATAACATGATTAATGAAATCAAAATGAATTCTATCAGCATAAATTTAAGTAACTGTAATCAAATACAGTTATGAATGTGAAATGTCCTAAATAGTATAGTATAGTATAGATTTTGAATCGCAACAGCATAACCATGTTAAAATAGATTTGCCCAAAAACTTTACTTAACAAGATTAGGACGAGATTTTTTCGTAATCAATTTTATCCACAACAAAAATGCCGACAATATAATATATATTATGTCGGTATAAAAAACCCGAGTTGACGAAAGTTTTTCCCTGAATATACAGTAATAGAATTCCTAAATTTCAGTGCATCAAAATCCCTGATTTTCAGAAGGCTTGGTTTCCCTGATTTCCAGAGAAAAAGAATTGGCTGAAATTCAGGCGATTACGCCTGAAAATCAATTGTTCCTAAACGCAATGATTAATTCAGTGAGTTTTCCCTGAATTTCAGTTGCGGATTCCTGATTTTGTTTAAGAGTGTATATATATATATATATATATATAATATATATATATATATATATATATATATATATATATATATATATATATATGTATCTAATGCTTTCTTGCGGGGACTTTTTTAGCAAAAAAAGTGTTGATTGCGGTGACCGGTTGCTTACGGGGACATAAATCGGTCCCCGTTAATTTCAGGCTTGATTTATAACTTCTGCGCGATTAAAATGTCTTTAAATTATCACTGTATATAAAGTAGACCATACAATTATTGTTATAAAGTTAATATTCTTGGTTTAAATGTTGTTTTTCATGAGTAATTGGCTTTGCTATTTCGGGTATGTATATTTAATAAAAAGCGAAGTCCATTGGTTTGTGCACTTACGGGGACAAACTAGAAAATGATTTTTTGCATGTATCATGTATATATATCTTACTTTTTTTTTTTTGAAAACTCTTTAATCTTCTTAGAAAAATTAAATTAATATTAAAAAGAGTATTGAACTATAATCTAGTCATGAGTTTTTTAAGAATATTTTTTTTCACACTTGTAAATTTTATTTTCAAACGTGAACTTGCGAACTTGATTTAAAAACGCATTTAAAAATGTAAACAAATGAAACGGTGTTTTTTTTACTTTGACATTGGCTTTATTTTTACACCATTAGGATTGATTTATGTTGTTTTTGTGTTTTGACTTTAAATATAACTACTTTACTGACAGTAAAAATATTACAACATGACTTAATTTTTTTTACCTTTGTAAGATGTATTATAGTATAATATTATAGTTATGATATTATAGTATCTTAAACTTCAAGTTTTTATAATATCACTAAGATGTTTTCATAATAGATGTTTATGATACAAATCACACATTTATAATATATATAAAAAAAATATTTATGATATATTATTTATAATATATTATTTAGTAAGATATTCATAATATATTTTATCCTACTTTAGTTATAAATACTTTACTGTCAGTAAAGATAATTTTTACTACCCTTAAAGTATTTATAATTAAAGTACGATATAAAATATTAAAAATATCTTTAACAAATAAAATAATTATAATATCTTTGTGACAGTAAAGTATGATTTCCTTTTTGTATCTTCATACTGTAATGCTGTCCTTAGGAGAGTTTTTAACTGAAAAATATTTATCTAGAGTGAAAAAATAATAAAATCTTCTTAAGTTTATTATTATTTTTATCAACTTAAGTTTTATTTTAGTTTATCTAAATATTAATCAACAAAAATGAATTTTATTTATAACCAATGATTTTTTATTATTCAGTTTTGTAACATAGATGATGTTGAAAGCAAAAGTTTGTGCAAGTTTTAGATAAATGGATGTTTAAAATATACATAGAAGTCTTCGTTTAAAACTCTATGTCAAAATATATATTTGATTTTATTTTGTATATATTTAAATTTAACTAATAAAGTTATTTAGCATAATTTTTAATTTAACTTTAAAAAAAACTAGCTAGCATTATAAAAAAAATCAGTTTTTCAAGATTGCTATTTATTAAAGAATAGACAATCGAAGGACGTGTTATATCGTTAATTAAACTTTCTTTTTTTTTTTTTTTTTTTTTTTTTTTAGTATTGTATTTGCCGATTGAAAATAATTTACACTCGTAATTTATAAAAACAAATATTTACATGACTGGGGCTTGAAGAAGACAAAATTCATCTTATCATTAAGCCCCCCCAAAAAAATGCATATTCATCAAATAAAATATTTTAACAAAATGTAAAAAATAAAATATATAACGTTTAAAATATTTAGTAATTCAAAGAGTATTTATATTTAAGAACTGATTAGTAAAATAAGATGATATATAAGTATTAATATTACAAAAAGAATTTACAATAACTTTTTTTAATAAAAATTGAAATTATAAAATTTTACAATATTTTTAGTAATTAGTAATTCAAATAATAAAACTTAAAAAATCGTTTGTAAATTCAAAACTTATAAGATAAGAAATACATTTACAATAGCAGACTATTGTTTAGAATATTAAATATAATATTAAAGAGTAATTAGTAGGTTAATTTTTGTTTTTGTTTGCTAGTTTAAAAAGCTTTTTAGAAGAACTTTAATTCATTTTCATGTATCATCAGTAATTGCTTAAGTTTTGTTTTAAACTGGTTTAAACAATAATTAGATTTCAGCTCATTATTTAATATTGTATTCCTACTTACTATTGACTGCATTGTATTGTATACATACTTTCTATTGACTGCAACGACTATTTTACTGATTATTCAGAGTTTTTTAGTTTGCGAATGATGTTAATGTCTGCATAAAATCAGTTCAGTTTTTTATTATATATCTATAAAGACCATTAAAATTGCGAGCCCTTTTAATATATTTGTTACAAGAAAATTGTAAACTTACAAGGGTATACAATAGTATTTACTTAAATGATAAATAACATAAACTATAGAAAGTATAAATAGAATTTAATAAAAAATTAAAATGTTTTCGACTACTTTAATTAGCAATTAGTTTTCTAATTTTTATTTAAAATTGTGATGTTAATACTATTTTCAAATGCTGGTATACTTTTATTAATTTTGATTTATATGATTGAATATATGTTAGTGATATTATGTTTAAGAGTTTTTAATTTTGTTATTTGTTTAGCATTTATTTTACTCTACTTTCAAAACACTTTAAGTCTTAGTAAAATTTTAAAATTAGGTTTTTTAATTAAGCCAAGTAGGTCGTTTTTCAATCTGTATTGTGTTTTCTTATTGTAAAATATTATTTTGTTATTTATGATAGAAATAAAATTAGAATAAAACAAAAACTAGAAGAGACTGATCACATCTTAATCATATTGCTCTTCTAACATTGCTTCACTGGATATATTTTATTTATAAAATTATTAAGTTATCGAATTTTGAAATTATATTTTTAATGCTTATGCACTTTGAAAGAACCTACTTTTAATCAAACTTAAAGCAAGTAGCATGCAAGCTATTAATTGAGTTGTTAATGATATATTCTCTGTATAGTACTGCCTGTTCATGAAGTGAATAATAGTAAAAGCGAATGGGAATGCCAGCTGTTAAATCGTCGATTGAAATTATTAGCTTCGCAATGACAAAAAAGATAATTATTTAAAAAAAAAAAGATGGATTATTGATAGTTGTCTTATTTAAAAACTGCTATAGTGCATGAAGGAACTGCTGAGATGCATTTGATGCATTCAAAAGTCAAAATCTCAAAACAGAAATTTAAAAAAATTACTGAATAAATAAATTTTTCAGAATGATTTAAAATTAGTTCAAGTTATTAAAGCAGTTTCTAAGATTAAAAATCTACAACTTTTTAAGCATGAATCAATACATTTTAAAACTTCACGACTAGATTTGTTTAATAAAATCTTCGCGGATTCACTCAGAACAGAATTAGGAGTTTTAACCAAACCAGTTTGTGAAATCAGATTGTGGTTTGGTTAAAATGCCACAAATCAATTTTTTATTGTATCTCTATTTATTTATGAATCTGATTATCTTATTTCTCTAAATAAGTCTTTTTAAATTTTGAATATTATTATCAGCTTTAATTCTGATAATTTTCAGGCCATTTTTTACTTAGCAAGTAATTTAAAATAAGTTGTAGGTATTCAGTAATAAATCCAGGATTTTTTGGTGATTGAGATAGCTAACTTCCAGACAGGAGCAAACTCCAAATATAAGTATGTTTATACTTTTAACAAATAGTTAGTCTGTTCAAAAAATTGCGATGATTGGAGGCAGGTTAAAAAGTCCTTTAAGTTTTTTACCCCCCCCCCCATCATCTTCCTTACCCTAAACGTGAGGGGCAACAATTTGATAAAAAAAATTGTGTATTTTTATTAATTAGATTTATATTCATTGATAAATTTCAAGTTTCATAGTACTATCTCTCAGCATTCAAAAATTATGACCATATAAAATTGTAACCCCCTCATATTGAGGGGGTTTAAACTTTATATGGTCACAGTTTTTGAACGCTCAGAAATAATACTCTAAAACTTGAAGTTTATCAATGAATATAAAATCTAATTGAGAAAAGTACAAAAAATATTTTATCAAGTTGTTGCCCCTCATGTTTGTTTTATGAACTCAAAGAGCTTTTTCGGTCAATTCGTCGCAATTTTTTGCACAGCCTCATTATTTGACATAAGTATAAACATAATAATTGGAGCTAATTGGAGCTAGCTCAACGTATGAAAGTTAGATATCTCAATCACCAAAGGATCCTGGATCTGTCACTGGGTATATTGGAGTAACTATATCTGAACCAAGATTCTAAAATTTTCTTTGAGGATTTTTAATTCTTTTTACATTTTAAATTTGTTTCAATACTGAAGATTTAACCTATATTTTTGATTTACTATTATTTTTCATTTTTCTATCAATAAAAATGTATTTTTAATTTAAAATCGTTTA